ATATGTATATATATATTTTCCACAGCAAAACAATGTTTTATTTTTTATTAATTTCATTGAGAAACAATAGCAATGAGACAGTTTCAAAACTGATTAGTAGGACAGTTACAATCATTAATACATTGCATATTGTTGTCTTCATAGTGGTTATTCAGGCGTGGGGAGATGGCTCAGTGGATTAAGTGCTTCCCAGGTAAGCGCAAGGGCCTGAGTTCAATCCCCGGTTCTGCAAAAAAAAAAAAAAAAAAAAAATAAAAAGACAACTCTCATAGTGGTTATTCATAGTACAAGATGCATACATGATATCCTGTCCAAACACTATGAGTACAAATCTTTCTTCTCACTGAATTAAGTGAAAGTAGCTGTATATCTATCCTAACTATTTTGTATATACAGATACAAAATGGTCCTTCATTTGTAACCCCTTTTTTGTTTAGTTTTGTCAGAGATAGGTATTCCATTGCTATTAAAATATTATAGGTGCGTGAATTCAGCAAAATAATCCAATATAGTCCAGTAGTCCATAATAGTAGTGGGTTATCCATAGGACTGGCAATGTCAGAATTTGTCGACTTAAGTCTTTTACAGCTCAGCATATTAATATGGCTTTATTTCTTATACTTCATTTTTATACTTTTCTGCTGGATGGTTAAGACCAAGATAAAGCAAGATCCGTGTAAGAAGAAATGTAACTTTTGTATCTGACAAGGTCAGATACACTCCCCTCAGGATTTACCCTGAAACCCTGTAACATGGTTTGTAGATCCTTTGTCAGTGTCAGCCATGTGGATGAGTCACGGCCATTGATCAATTTGCTCTCTGTGAAAGCCTGAGGGAATGTTTTCTCTCTATGTGACTCTCCTTATGCACACTCTACATCATCGATCACTTTCCTCTGTGGCTCCATAATATCCTTGATCAGAAAATTTGGGACACAATTGAGTTACAGGATGTTACAGTACAGGTTCTCCTATGTCCTGAGTTCTCACTGACCTTGAAAGGCTAGAGCCAAAATGTTGGCTGTCCTTGAAACCCTTCCTTTTCTGTAATTTTTGGTCTGCAAACTTAAGTTGTTAACTCTTCAGAAGATGGGTTATTACCCTATGTTACAGGGTAATAACGATATTATTACCCTGTAACATAGGCAGTTGAGCTGAACCGCACTCTCTGTCTGAATGTCAAACATCAAAGTAGTTATTCAAATTACCAGATATAAGCATGTAAAATTGGTCAAGAAAAGTTTAACATTAACTGTTCCTTTTTTTTTTTTTTTTTTTGGAACCGGGGATTGAACTCAGGCTCTTGCGCTTGTCAGGGAAGCGCTTATTCCACTGAGCCATCTCCCTGGCCCTGTTTCTTTCAATAAACCAATAGAAAGTAGTAGTGCAATTCCCTAAAATATTAAGGAGATATTTGGACATTCAGTGGCTTAGGCTTAGTCAAGTTGTACTTAAAATTGATCATAAATTCACAAACTCCACTCAGTTAATTTTCTCTTACTATTTCTTTTCCCTTGATCACTGAAAATTCAACATATTTTATTTGTCAGAATTATTTGTGCACTTGCTGAGCTAGAAAATGCTCACGTCAACAACTTCTGATATTGCCAGTCCTAGGGCTAACTCACTACTATTATGTGCTACTGGACTATATTGGATTATTTTCCTGAATTCATGCACCTACAATATTTAAATGGCAATGGAATACTCATCTCTGACAAAACTAAACAAAAAAAGGGGATATAAATGAAGGACCATTTTGTATCTGTATATACAAAATAGATATACAGCTACTTTCTCTTAATTCCATGAGAAGCAAGATTTGTACTAATAGTGTTTGGACAGCATATAATGTCTGCATCTTGTATTATGAATAACTACAATGAAGACAACAATATGGAATGTATTAATGATTGTAACTGTCCTACTAACCTGTTTTGAAACTGTCTCATTGCTATTTGTTTCTCAATAAAATGAAGAAATAAAAGACAAAACAAAACAAAATGTACAATAGATATTATAAAATGTGAAGAAACTTTAAAAGAGAACAAGCTGTAATGGAATAGAGAAAAGAAAG